AGTGGAAATTTCCAGGGGCCACTGGAAATTTCCACTACATGCATCCGAAGAAGTGGGTATTCACCCACGAAAGCTCATGCTCCTATACGTCTGTTAGTCTATAAGGTGCCACAGGATTCTTTGCTGCTTTTACAGATCCAGCAAATCTTTTGCTGCTTTTACAGATCTACCACGGCTACCCCTTTGATACTTGAGGTAACTTAAAAATATTAGGGGTAAATTATGGCTTTTAGAACTGGCTGGTGCTTGGTGGATGGGGAGAACAGTTTCAAATAAAAACATTAAGCCTCTGTAGGGTAGAAGCAGGCATAAAATCTTGTGGGTGCTTGAGGTGGAGAAGCATGAATACATGTGGCACCTTCTACACCTTCAAAAAAGCTTCATTGTGACTTCCCTCACTAGCATTGACTGCTAGGTGAATAGGGAAGGCAAACTTTGGGCATCCCACAACCCACTCTTTCTGTTGTCACTATTTTCCCTGGATCAGCCAGTCAGCCAAAGTCTGTAGAGCCCACAAGGCTATGGTGTTTTGTTTTTTATTTATTTATTTTATTTTTTCTTGGCTGGCCCCATGTATCAGCACCACTCATACTGCTATAGTTAAGATAAATATGCATACATCATGGACACATGCTTTATTTAATTAAAAGGATAGATCCATACCTCCTCCTGAACATCAAGTTCATCATCAAGCTTGTCTGTTTCTGAGAAATCTATTGGTTCCTTAGATTCCTGCATCAGTGAAATCTTAAGAGAAAAGTTAACAAGTATTGTGAACAAAATGAAAGTTGCAACCGTACCAATAAAGTTATGTTACCATGAAAAGCCTTGGTGTTACTGCCTCCCCTCATAAAAACCTGCTGCTTACTCGTAATTAACAAAATTATTCTTTTAGCTGTTGGGGTACAGACTTGTGCTTTTGATGCTGAAGGCCATGCTTGTAATCCTGGTGATGACTCAGTGTCTGTGTATATGCAGCCATAGGTTAGTTAAAATGGTATGCAACCTTTTTAAATACATAAATACTGCAGAGTAACTCCTCCGGAGTCTGATATGACAAGCAAAAATGACCAAAAATTCAGGGTCCCATACTGCTGTCTTTGTGAGGACAGTCACAAAATTTGAAGGCCCCTGGTGGAGAGTATGGCCTTAATCAAGGCTGCATATTTAAGATGGGTGTAGGCAAAACCAGTGCTAGGCATAAGCAGACTAAGCAATTGTTTAGGGCCCTGAGTAGCTCAAGGGGGGGGGGGCTATTAATTATTAGTGTGTTGTAAGGGGGCCCAAAAATATTCCTGCTTAAGGCCCCCAATGGGTTAGCACAGGCACTGGATGGAGGCAGAGTTAGAACTTTAGGGCCTCCTTGTAATGTATGGAGGATTTGAATCAATCTGTTCAGTGTTCTAAAGTTTCTCAGGAATTGCAGGGAGCACTGGTTCACTACATGTTTGTGGTGTTGCAGAGGTGATGTGGGGGGTGGGGCATGGGCATGTGGGGTCATATACCCCTCCTCCCCCAGATTTGTTGCTTGGTTGGACTGAGCATGCTCAGTAATGCTGCTGAAGCCAGTTGCCCTCACTCTGCACACACACACACCCATCGGTAGGCACAGGTATCTCTGACTGTGCCTAGCACAATGGGATCTCAACCTGCACTACTGCAATATAAATGATACATAGTAATTAATAATCCTCTAACAGTTAGAAAAGATCTGCAGGCCATCAGATATACAACACAAGCTGTCCAGTTTATAAGCACCTTGTATGAACATCTTTTGCTTTTTTTAAACAACTCTTCATCTAGTTCCTAAAGCTTTTTCCCTTTATCACAAACTGTGAAAACTATTTACAGCTAGAGTATGATACAGAAAAACAAATGCTATATGGGCCTCACCTTTTCAAAAATAGGATCCTGGATGTCCCTGTGCATCATTTCATGCTGTATGTAAAGCACAGCATCATGGACAGTCAGGAAGAACATGTCTTTTCTGATGTTATCATCAAAGAAGCCACATTGTTCCAGCTTTGTTATAATGTTGTCTGAACAAAAAACAAAGTTATAAAAGACTGATACATTTGAAAATAATTGAAGAAATAAGTGTCAAAATAGAGATTAACAATTATCAACAATAAAATGTATAGACCTATAATTCTATCATAGTGGGTTCTCTCTAAGTTAAATTCACTTCTCCCCAAGACACCTTTGTACGCCTGCAGACACAGCCAGACACAGTTTAACTATTTATTTGTTTAAAAGAGCAGTTCAGTTCACTTTTAACTATATTTACTAAAAAAGTACTTCCAGAGATCCAATCCACAGATCCTTTATTACTTTTATTCTATCCTTCATGCTGTGCATTAGTGATAATACATATATGTTTACCTTGATGTGATGCGATGTATACAGTCACATCAATTCTCTCGAACTCTTTAACTATCTGGAAAAAAAAGGGGGTGGTTTGCAATAAACATTTTCTTATTCACACACATTTAAGAAACAGTATTTGTATTCACAAAGATTAGTTACATTTTTCATTTTCCTTTGAGTATTTGCACCACAATCCCGAATCATGTGTTCTTTTATTCATAGGAATATAGGAATTGCCAGACCCAAAGTCCATCTACTCCAGTATGCTGTTTCTGTCAGTGGCCAGACTTTGATTATTAAAGGCAAAGCTGACCGTGCCATCTATGATTATGGTTGCATGACACTATGGATATGCTCCGGGAATGAATTGGGGTTGTGCAGTACAGAAGGTTGTCTGTGGCACTGGTTCTCAACCAGAGGTCTGGGGCCCCCTGGGGGGCCGTGAGCAGGCTTCAGGGAGTCTGCCAAGCTGGGCCAGCACTAGACTCACTGGGGCCCAGAGCGGAAAATAGAAGCCCCACTGCATGGGTCTGGAGCCCTGAGCCCTGTCATCCGGGGTTGAAGTTGAAGCCTGAGCAATGTAGCTTTGTGGGGGCACCATTTGGTGTGGGCCCCAGGCAATTGCCCTGTTTGCTACCCCCTAATGCCGGCCCTGGCTTTTATACGCAGAAAAAAACAGTTGTGGCACACATGGAGTTTTTATAGCATATTGAAGGGAGCCTCAGAAAGAAAAAGGTTGATGGTCTGTGGGACCCCTGCCTCATTTGTTGCAGAAGTTGGAAGATGCATAGTCAATAAGGCAGAGGATTACAGGAACAGAAAAGAATTTTTTGCAGACCAACTGTTTGTTCCTCATTTTCTGGATGTCCAACTTAATAACCTGGGATTTGAATTGCAGAAGTGCTGACCACTCAGGAACTGCAGTTGAAGTCAATGCTTTGAACATACCAAGTGCTATATAATGCTAAATTCTCTGAAAAATCAGGTCCTATGTGTCACATATTGGGCACCCACAATTAGTGGATACTTTTCATTTTAATCTCTCTGTGCCTCAGCTCCCCATCTGTAAAATGAGGATAATACCCCTCACCTCTCAGGGGTGTTGTGAACGTACATTGATTAATATTAGCGTAGTCAGATACTATAGTGCTGAGTGCTAAAGAAAAGTCCATGAGGAAGTTAATAGTTTTGTCTTCATGGCAAGGTCTGAATAGTGTGCAGGAAATAAGGCATGAGGCCACACATTGAACAATGAGAATAAAACAAAATATTGAATAGCTTCTTTTTAAGTGAGCACTGGCCATCCTGTGCACTGACTGAAGCATGGATCCCATGGGGAAAAGATGCGATCATGTAAATTAAAGATAGTAGCAATGCATAGACACAAGGAGCCCAAATTAAGGTTGCACGGGCATCCTAATTCTGGCATTTTCTAATGCTTAAGTGCTTGTCTTTACGACCTTAATAATGTTTTTATTATAGTTTTTTAATTTCTAATTTATAAATAGACCAAAATCTACCTGTTGTTATAGAAATATGAAAGATGTGTCACAAACCAACATACACTGGGAAACTCAAAATTAATTTCAGCCAACCTGTCCCTAATGACTAATACTGCACAGGAAAAAAAAAAAGACTTACCATTCTCATTGTCCTCACGGCTACAACATCCAAGAATGATACACCTCCAAAGTCAAAAATTAAACTGTGGATAGGCACTCTGGGGACATTCACTTTGACTGGGAGTTCTGAATTCCAGTCCACTTGGATCTCTACTTCTTTGGTTGGAATTTTAAGATCTTCAGGATCATCAAGATCTTCATCAGATTCAAAAGCTTCATTGGTAGTCCCAGAATCACTGATGATGCCATTCTAATCAGAACAGACAATATAAGAAATAATTCACTTAATCAGGGACAAAGATTTTGGAATTTTTCCGTATTAGCTTATTTAAGCAATAATGACGGAAGCCATTAATAATTTAAGTAAGCCAATAATAATTAAGTAAGCCATTAATAATTTAAATAAGCCAATAATAATTTAAGTAATTTAGTGCAGACATACCCTGCACTAAATGACTTAAATGGAAACAAGACTGAGCCAATAATTAGCACTTCTCCCTGCATACAGTGTATTTTCTTTCCTGTGTTTTTGTTCATGAAGGGAGGAGAGCCATATGGGAAAACCACTGTCCAGAAAACAACTAACAAGCTTCCACTTGAGGAACCTTACCCTATAGACTCTTTAGGGTTGATGTTTTTATTTTTGAATTTTATGTATTACATTTATTGCAATAACAACCCAAGGGTCAAGAGTTGTTGTCACTTACCTGAAATTTTCATCATATAAACTTGAAAGAAAACAAAAATCTAGCATCCTGCAGTATAATAACTGGCAAAAATTGACACTTATTCCCAACCTTCAAATGTGGGGACTTCAATGGGACATCTACATTCCACATTCTGGACACTCATATAAGCACTTAATGGTATAAATGGCCATTTTACACTTAGCACAATAAATGTTGCCCCATTTAAGCAGCTGTGGAATGCCCTGTTGGCAGGAAAACCAATGCAATTCTTCTGCATATAGGAGGCAAAATATAAAGAGCCTGTGTAAGGGATTTACACTCTGTGCACCAGAATGCAGCTCTGAAGAGACTGCCAGTCTATAACTTCGTAAAACAGATGTAGGGCTGAGGAGAAGGAATAAAGGAAGGACCAGGTAATGCACTGCGTCCAGATCCACTGGCCTTTCTCTCCCCTCCCCAACATACTGTGGGCACAGCTGCCAATGGTCACTCCAACCTCAACCCCAAGGCTATAGTAGCAGCCATGGAGGAGTTCTACTGCTGCCTGCGTGCTGGAGGGAAAGGATTTTTTTTCCCCAGGCCCTGAAAATACTCTAGGGTAGAGTTCACTAGATGGGTCAAGTTCTGAAGATGAGGTTCAAACTGACACCTCATATTTGCAATTTGATTATCCTCTTCAGATGCCCATGTTTGAACATATTGCCCATTATCAGGAGAATTGTCCAGTTAGTTAAACATGTTATCAGCAGTTAATGGCTCCCCTCCCTAATGAGTACTGACCAGATGCATTTTGACTCTGAAGCAGCCATGATGTTCTATAAAGCTTCCAAGTTGCAGTGGTTTATGATGGAGCATTGATCTTTATTGCACCTTGATACACTGCAAAGCATTTAGATGCAGCATTGGATGGTTACAGCTCTCTGTGGGCCAAGTTGACTTCCTCTCTCTAGTGATCATAGGTGTATGTCCACTTACCAGACTTGACACTATGTGTACATTGCTCTTTCTGTGTAATCCTGGGTGTCTCACACAGTCACATCCCAGTGCCAGGGACTTCCCCTTCCCAGCATATCACCAAAAAGAGAGGTGAATGATCAATACAGTCATATCACAGTGAATGATATCAGAGTGCACTATGCTACACAACTGTGCACCTTGGGCTTCTCAGTGATCATCTGAGGCTGGTGAATGGATAAATAGTCACAGGTCCTTTCCTACACCCACCTATATTTCACCCAAACATAGAGATTTCCAACGCTGTGGCATGTGGTGCCTGGTACACAGCTCAGATAGTTTTTCTGAATGTGGAAGTGTCTGGGCAACATCGGCTGGAAAAAGAATCTCCACTCTCCATTTCAGTACGTATCACAAAATAAACAATTACATCAAAACAAATGTCGAGCTTCCTGCCACTCGCATTATAATAAGAACATAAGCAGGGGCGGCTCCAGGTACCAGCGCAGCAAGCGCATGCCTGGGGCGGCAAACCGCGGGGGGCGGCCTGCTGGTCACTGTGAGGGTGGCAGTCAGGCAGCTTTCAGCGGCATGCCTGCGGGAGGTCTGCCGGTCCCGTGGCTTCGGCGACAATTCGGCGGCGGGGATGCTGATCGTGCGGCACCAGCGGACCTCCCGCAGGCATGCCGCCGAAGCTGCGTCACCAGTGGACCACCCGCAGGCGCAGCGCCGAAAGCCAGGTGCCTGCCATGCTTGGGGCGGCAAAAAACATAGAGCCGCCCCTGAACATAAGCATGACCATCCTGGATCAGACCAATGGTCCATCCGGCCCAGTATCCTGTCTTCCGACAGTGGCCAATGCCAGGTGCTTCAGAGGGAATGAACAGAACAGCCATTAATGGACCTATCCTACATGAACTTATCTAGTTCTTTTTTTAAACCTGTTATAAGTCTTGGCCTTCACAAACATCCTCTGGCAAAGAGTTCCATGGGCTGACTGTGCTTTATGTGAAGAAATACTTCTTTTTCTTTGTTTTAAACCTGCTGCCTGTTAATTTCATTTGCTGACCCCTAGTTCTCCTGTTATAAGAAGGAGTAAATTACACTTCCTTATCTACTGTCTCCATACCAGTCATGATTTCTATCCTCTATCATATCCCCCCTTAGTTTTCTCTTTTCCAGGGTGAAAAGTCCCAGTCTTAATCATCTCTTCTCGTATGTAAGTTGTTCCATACCCCAATCAGTTTTGTTGCTCTTTTCTGGACCTTTTCTAATTCCAATATATCATTTTTGAGATGGGGCACCAGATCTACATGTAGTATTCAAGATGTGGGCATACCATGGATTTATATAGAGGCAATATGATATTTTCTGTCTTATTATCTATTCCTTTCCTAATGATTCCCATCACTCTGAAGAATTATTTTGTTTTGGACTGCTATTACGGCCAGAAGGGAGGGGGAGCTGCCTCCCTATGACTCAGAAACAGAGGGCTGCACCCCATGCTCCGAATCAGCAATACAGCAATGCCTACAGCCAGAGAAGGATGTCTGGGACAAGAGAGGTGCCCACTCTTACCCCAAGGGTGCATCTTAGAAGTATAACCTATGACGTGGTGGAGAATGTGGGCATTCACTTCCTAAATCTGACACAAGGGTAAATTGGGGAAGATTGAAAGCCCAGGCATGTTAGCTTTTATGACTGCCACTGCACATTGAGTGAATGTTTTCAGAAAACTATCCACAATGACTCCAAGAGCTGTTTCTTGAGTGGTAACAGCTAATTTAGACCCCATCGTTTGATATGTATAGTTGGGATTATGTTTTCCAATGTGCATTACTTTGCATTTATCAACATTGAATTTCATCTGCCATTTTGTTGCCAAGTCACCCAGTTTTGTGAGATCCCTTTGTAACTTTTCGCAGTCCACTTTGGACTTAACTATCTTGACTAGTTTTGTATCATCTGCAAATTTTATCACCTCACTGTTTACCCCTTTTTCCAGGTCATTTATGAATTTGTTGAATAGGACTCATCCCAGTATAGACCCCTGGGGGATACTACAATTTATCTCTCTCCATTCTGAAAACTGACCATTTATTCCTATACTTTGTTTCCTATCTTTTAACCAGTTACTGATCCATGAGAGGATCTTCCCTTTTATCCCATGACAGTTTACCTTGCTTAAGAGCCTTGCACAAGGGACCTTTTCAAAGGTTTTCTGAAACTCTAAGTACACTATATCCACTGGATACCCCTTGTGCACATGATTGTTGACCTCCTCAAAGAATTCTAA